AGCACTATTATAGCCAGAAATCAAGAGTGAAGTATTCTCTCCAAATAATCTCTTTTAGGACCTAACATATCATAAAGGTGCTTGTCATGCTACAAGTCCTTTTTCAGGTAGCAGTGAACCCTTTCTTTTACAAAAAAATACATGCTAAAGAAGGACATACAGAAGCAGACATAATTGCTACATTTTCTCCATTTGCTTGGAGAGTGCTAAATATAAATAACCAAGCTTTGACAAGTAGGAAGTACATTTATCTTCAACTTATTTCTTTTGCATTCGTGAAAATTGTCAATCCTGTCACTTCCTACACTTCAGTCAAAAGGATTAGAGCCTATTAGTACAGAAAGAACTGTTTTATCAAAATGCCTCTCTCTTCCTTAAAAAAAAAGGTGACAAATGCTATCAATAAGATTGGGGCTTATGAGTATGAGGTAAAGAAAGCAAAAGTAAATTAGCTATGAGGAAATTCATTGAATAAGTGGACAAAGGGATTAATTGTCCAGAGAGTGGATACAGAGTGGATTTTGTAATTCAAGTGCATTATTAAAAGTGTCAAGTTAAATATCTTTAAAAAGATGGATTGTAATTCTTTCTTCCTCAACCAAGAACATGACTTGTACATAAATCTCATGTATTTATGGCATTCTATGATACCAAACATTTTTGGAGGGAAATTGTCATAAATGGGTATAATTATAGAAATCATAATAATCTTTTCAATAGCATCAGTCTGATTTTTTGTGTTCATTGCTTTGGTTTTCCCTAATTAGCCTTACAAGAAGTCTAGTAGTCCCTCTGCACAAGAAGACAATAATTTATATGATAGAGTTATAGTCCAACAATCTTCTTAAATTTTTGAATTAGTTGAAAATATTGGACATACATGGAGCATCAAAGAATACTTAATACTGGAGTATTGGAGTAATAGAGAAGGATTAGAGTTAAGATACAGGACTGGCTGTGCGGCTTTGAGGTCCTTTCCCAAAAATTGTATCCTAGACTTTTTCCTGCTTATAATCTATAGATGTCATTCTATTGGCAGATTCGTTAGCACTGGGGATTAAGGATTATACGGGTAGTCCTCGATTTATGACCACAATTAATCAAAATTTCTGTTGATAAATGAGACATTTGTTAAGTGAATTTTGCCTCATTTTAAGACCTTCCTTGACACAGCTGTCAAGTGAATTGATAAACACTGAAACATTCATGTTTCACAGTCGTATCAATTGATAATAATGTTTACAAATATCAAGTATTTATTTATTATTAATTCTAAGTATTAAATAGATTGTGGGATTGTGATAAAAATAATTCAAGAAATTAGACATTATTTGTTACTCTTGGTCACAATAAGGACTGGGTACCTGACAGTCGAAACTGAAGGAGGATTGAAAGTATATATTTGAGGCATTCTCTGTCAGTGTAATTTTACTAAAATGGGTTCTTAAAGATTAACAGTTACATATTTCATCATCCTCAAAAGCTACATATAATCCATAACATTCTTAAGAGCCAATAGGAATAAAATGGACATAAAGGAGAAAATTTTTTGAAAGCGCTTTGAACTGTTTGAGGAGCACTTCATGAATCAAAGCTTCCCTCAGGTCCCACAGCCAGAAGCACTGAATCACATATTGTGAAATGCTCAGTGAACTCACATTATGGGCCTCCCCACATTAACTGACTACATGGGTGTCCACCTTTGACAAGATTTCCACTTATGAAAAGCTGCAGTGCTGGGAGCAACCCCATTGTAGCAACAATTCTTGTAGAAGTATCACCTGTGTCATGCATCCCTTCAAGGCCTTCAGAGGGGTTCTTCTGAGTCTTCTGCAAAATTTAGTGCTTTACTATCTTAAGGAATATATTCAGGGGGAACTTTTAATTACTTGTCAAAGAAAGCTTTGCAAATGGTTTTGCACAGCCATAATAAATAAGGAGCTAGACTAAAACATTCAGTGTGTCTGAGGGCCCCAATTTGGAAAAAGCTGTATAGGTAATCTTCGCTTAACAACCCAACCAAGACCAGCAATTCCACTGCTAAGCAAAGCAGACACTAAATGAGAAATCATGTGACCCTGCCTCTATTTTCTGGCTGTAAAGAGGCAAGATTATGCAGTTTCACATCTGCTTTTGTCTAACCACTCTTCCATCTTTGCAGAACAATGCAATTTGTAAAAAGCAACAACAGCACTCTCTATCACTTGGCAAAAAATAACCCCAAAATAACCCCTTTGAACATAATAGCTAAACACTAGGGTACTGTGGTCTACCATTCTGAGGTGGTCTACCATTCTGAGGTGGATGAAAGCTGTAGAGAAAATCCTAAAATAGGATTGCCAGGCTTCAAGACAAAAGCAAGCCTTTATAAATC